AAATTAGAGAAAGTATTTCATTCACTGAACAGACGCTGTAAACCAATGCAAGCAAGCATTGTTGAATGTTCTCTCTCCTTTTGACAGGTTCCACTCTACATAATTGCTCAGTTGACAGGGTCGGCATTGGCAACTTATGTTGGAGCATCGGTCTACGGCGTCGAATCGAGTCTCGTGATCACGCGGCCTCTCGGAGGCCCCGCTTCCACCTTCTGGGTGGAGTTCTTGGCGACATTCATCATGGTCTTCCTAATCGCAGGATTGACTTACGATCATCGATCCGTAAGACCGAAATTTTGCACTTTGATACCCATTGTTCAGATATGCTGGAGACAATAGCCCACGTCAGAGGATGTGATAAATTTATCATTATGTTAAAATCTTTGTAGGTAGGCCAGCTATCTGGATTTGTCAAAGGAACAAGCATTGGACTCGCCGTAGTGATCACGGGGTGAGCGCCAACACTTGTTCCCATCTACAATTTCATCAGGATGAACTTTTCTTTCAAAAGCTCATCAGTCAGACATTCTGAGCACTGTTTGTTTAATTCCCAGGCTAGTATTGGGAGCATCAATGAACCCTGCAAGATCATTAGGACCTGCAATTCTCAGTTGGGATTTTGAGTCCATTTGGATATATATTTGTTGCGGAAAAAAGTGATTGAACAATGAAATAAATAAAACAAGAAAATAAATCGGTCATTAAATTTACCTAGTTCGGTTGGGTGACCTATGTCCACAGGAGAGCAAAAAAGCATTCCACTACGGATCAAGTACTTGAATAATTCAAACACTCTTAATGTTTCTCAGCCTCAATTACGCCCATAACTTACATAGTGTTTAATCTCAGAATTCCTTACGAAATAATCTCTTAATCTCATAAAAGAATTCACAAATCTTACTCCTGAGATTTAATTGGCTTCTACACTTGAATTACTGGTGCAATTCCTCGAATAAAACCCACAAAGATAAACCCCTGCCAAGCACGCAATGAAACGGCGCTTCAACCTCTTCATCAGGAATCACATATAATGTATAAATATATATAGATATATATGCGTATGTACATGCAAAAGAAATTGTTCAATAACCAACTTCATGGATTAGGAAATCCATCTATTAGTTCAACGAATTCCAAATTTGGACTTTCCTCTTTTGACTTTTCTTTGGCCGACTTCGGGACACTCTCGGACTAACAGGAAATATAATTTGTGTGCCCCTTTTATTTTTCTTTTCAGTTTCCACGACAGGAGTCCATGAATCACGTGACCGATTAATTTCTTCGGGCCAGGTTTTCGTCCCCCAAGTTCAAACTCGAAACATATTATGATAATCTCCACCATAGCTCGATGTTTTGAGCCAAGTCGCAATCGCTTTTCTAAAAAATCCAAACTTCGCTGTTACTCTCTTACACCCCTTTACGGGCTCAACCGCCATAGTCATCTTCCAAGTCGAGAACTTCATGTAACCATGGACCTCATCAGGAAAACTAACTCCACTTGCACATTTAACTACTTCACAAGGATTTTCAGACTAAACCTTATCTACCATAGATAAAGCAAAACCATTATTGTATCTATATCTGCCAGGAGATATATCATGTACGTTGTCAATATTATTAGTTACAACAATTGCTAGCTCTACAGGCTCCACCTCGTTATAAACACCATCTGTGTTGATTACTCCACTAGTACCCGCTATCTCAAGAGTTTCTGGTTACAACTCCACCTTGAGCTGAACAATGTCAAGATCAATAAAAAAAAAAACTGCCACAATCACTCCTACCCAGTAGGAATGGATTAGTCAAATGTAACTTTTCTGATGATAACAGCTGAATTTAATTCAGAGCACCACAACAGATAAATCCACTCACCTTGTGCATAACGTTGGAACATGCACTTTCTTACCATTCCATCGAGCTTACCATGACTCATCGAACATAACATGGGTAACCAAATATTTTAATAACAGAATAATCAGCAACATTACCTAACCACACTTCTTCGGGAGTCCGACATCCAATCGTAGTTGATGGGGATCTATTCACCAGATAGCTCGTCATACTATGCGCATTCGCCAATAATCTCCTAGCCATACTAACACTACAGAGCATTTTATGAACCGTCTCTACTGTTGTTCTGCCGATTAGCTCTGTAACTTTTTATGGTTCATTGGCACTACTGCGGTGTTTTACTATACCTTCTTTCATGCAAAATTATTTTAACAGATCCGAGTAGAACTCAATGCTACTGTCAATCCACACATATTTGATTGTCTTACCAATTTCTTTTTTGATAAAAAGTTTCAACTACCTCACCCTGACACTAACATCAAACTTGTGCCTCAACACAAATACCCAAATCTTCCTCAAGTAGTCATCCACAGCCGTTGGCATAAATCTCACACTCTTTCTTGAAGGAAACTGCAACAACATGCAAACATCCAAGTGAATTAACTATGCACTCTCCGTGGTTTCTCTAATAGTCGTACTAAACTACACTTTCCGCCATTAATCTAAGCCACAACATCTACATACATTCAATTCGTCGGCAATATAATCAAATATCATATTCCTTTCGCTTAGAACTTTCATGCTTCTCTCGCTAATGTGTCCTTAACGCATGTGCCACAATTTATGCTTTTGAACAAAAAGTTCATGCAAGCCACATTTGTCATTATCTCACTTTAAAGTTCATACATGCCACTGTGCTTAATTCCTTTCATTATCACTAAGGCACCTCGAATAATCTTCAAAATTTCACATTCTGAGCTATACCAACACCCAGTTGAATCTAGGGGATTCAAGGAAATCAAGTTTTTCTTCAACTTTGAAACGTGCCTCACTCCAATTAGTGTCCTCACGATACCATCATACATTCTAATTCTAACATTACCAATACCAATAATATCGCATTTAGCATTGTTCCCCAATTACACTTTACTACTAACCATGCATTGATAAGTAGTAAACTAGTTCTTATTTGGTGTAATGTGTATTAGGGTGTAGTTCGTACTCCCCTCCGACAGGAATGCATAGGAATTCTCTATTGGACTTAGCCCTGGTTTAAAGATGAACCAAGATAAAAACCTTGTGTCTTAATTTTCTTTTCTCACTTTTATTCTCTATTTCCTTGTGATTGTGTGTCGATCCTAACATCGTGAAACAAACAACCAGAATCCATGATCCATTAGTCAAACGACGAATTATTAGTGACAGACAAGACATATCATCACTATCCAGATTACAATCAACTACAGTAGCAACATCATCGGTAGACACAAATCTAATTCCATTACCCTTCTCATTCTTCAGCTTAAGGTAATTCCTTCTAAGATGCTTTATCTTCTCACAACTTCAATAGACAGCACTACCAGTCCTAGACTGACTTTGTTTGCTCAAGTTTATATTACTTCTGCTAACACGAGTAACAGCTCTTCCTCTAGTTTCACATACTAAAGTAGTAAACATAGGTTCACCAAATTCTCTTCTACAGATGTTCTCACTAATAATTAAATCTAGAAACCCATCAAACGTCAAACTTGTTAACCTAGAAAAATTACTACCAGCACTAATGGTAGTATTCCAACTATCAGGCAATGAGGATAATATATTCAAAGCACGTACCTCATCTTCAAAATCAATCTCAAATGAACTCAATTGACTAACGACCACATTGAATTTACTGATATGATTAGCAATTAATGCACATTCATCCATATTTAAGTTAAATAAAAGTCGTATCAAGTAGACCTTTTAACTTCTTATACATTTCCGACAGGGCTTTCATCAAACCCGTGGTGGTCTTCTCTTTCATGATGTTAAATGCAACATTATGACCCAACGTCGGTTGAATAACACCCAAAGCTTATCTATTTAGTAATTCTTATTCAGCTTGCTTCATCGACTCTGATTTCTTCTCAGACAAGGCTAAGTGCAGATTATTCTGATACAGATAATCCTCAGTCTACATCTTCCAAAAACCAAAATCTTTCCTATCAAATCTATCGATCTTCACTTTTCCTTATTCTGTCACTATCAATTAGCTTCAACTCAATCAAGTTTAGCTTTGATATCAGTTATGGAAATAAGCGATCGAACAATAAAATAGATTAAAAAATAAAATAAAAAAGCGGATACCAGATTTAAGTGGTTTGGTCGGGTAACTTACGTTCATGGGAGAGAAAAGAAAAGAATTCCATTATAGATTAAGCGATACAATAGAAATCATAACTACACTCAAGCAACTCAAACACTCTCAAGTTTCTAGCCTCAATTATCCCCAATAACTCACAATATTTAGTCTCACAATTTCTCACGAAGTAATCTATCAATCATACAAAGTAATTCGTAAATCTTACTCACGAGATTTAATTGGTACACTTAAATTCCTGGTGTAATTCCACTATTAAAACCCAAGAAGATAAACTCCTGCCAAGCACTCGATGAAACGGCGATTAAAACCTCTTCACCAGGAATCCCATATGCAAAATAAATTGTTCGATGACCGACTTCATGAATTAGGGAATCCATATATTCAGTCAACCAAGTCCAAATATGGACTTTCCTCTTTTGATTTTTCTTTGGCCAAGTCAAGGACACACTCGGACTAACGGAAAATATATTTGTGGGACCCTTTATTTTTCTTTTCAATTTTCACGATAGAAGTCCATCACGTGACTGAATAATTTATTCGGGCCGAGTTTTGGACGGTCTTAAATTCGAAACATATTATGGCAACATCATGGCCCCGGTTACAGGGTCCTTCGAGGGCGCTTTCGTGTATCGCCTTAAAGGCCAGGTTTCCAGCTTCACTACATCTTCTCCTAAAGCCAGTTTGCTGATCTACTCACAGGAGGCCCTTTGATGAATCCGTGGAGAGAAGGAGGATCTAATGGACACTGTAATTGTAAATTAGTTATCAACTAGGTTAAGGGCTGTTCAACTAAAGGATATTCAGTTTATACTGGTTGCCTGTCGGGTGCTATAAGAGTCGATAAAGTTACAATAATTATGCAGGACGAGGTTATTTATCTACACTCCCACACAATTTATCTTCATCTGTGCTTAGTCCATGCATTGCAACAAACTACAAAGTCAAACAGACATTCATGATTAAACATGACATTGACACGACTGAGAATCACGAGACAAACTAGCAAATGCAACAATATCCATCCTCAACCTCAAGAATGGGAGCAACTGGTGTTGCGAAGCAGGAGCGAGTTGCTGAACCTGAACGTCAGCGCAGCCATGTCAAACTCTACCAGATTGTCCTCCATTTGGTGTGCCCCAATCACGATCGCCGTCCTCAGCGTCGACCCTCCCTCCATGAACCCCAGGCACATCACCTCCTCGCTCACCCTCACCATCGAATTCGCCCCTTCGATCCTCCACTGAGCATCGTTCCGGAGCACCAGCACGATCGCGGGCACATCCGGCCCTGCCACCCCACTCCTTATGCTACTCGCATCGAAGCACGCCCCGAACGGCGCGATTGGCTCCGCTCTCCTGATCGTCTTCTCCACCGCCTGCCTCGAAAACTCTGCAACCAGAGCTCTATAGATGTCCGTGTGGAGGACCGTGTACGAAGTCAGAGTAGTGATTTTTGTCCCGCCTCTTCCATTCTTGTCGATCACTAACAACGATGCCTTGAAATTGACCGGAGCGATATTGACCTTGATGGCGGTCACGTCGACGAAGTACTCATCGGACGGAGATGCGGAGCCGTGAGAGGGCGCTCGGCTGACAGGATCGATGAGCAACTGAGTGACGAGGAGCAACTTCGAGAGGTCCTGCTCGATCAAAGGCCCAAAGTACGGGCCGCCGCCGACGTAGAAGTTGCCTTGGCCAGAGGAGGAAGAAGAAGACGGGAGGCACAGAGCGAGCTTGTGGGGGAGGTTAAGGTCGGCCGAGAGCTTCGTAGCGAGCGAGGTCGGAGCGATGGACAGCGCGATCACGCCATTGCCGGCTCTGGAGATGCCGCGCGTGAACTCCGAAGGCACGCAAGAGAAAGGAAGTTGCTGCGGAAAATGGATGACGACGATAGGTGCACCGTTAAAATTTTCGATTTTTCTTTTTTCATTTCTACATTACAAAAATTTGACAATATACAAAGAATTTACAATTTACGACATTTGAAATTGAGTCCTATTTAATGTGATGTCTCCATATATATATATATGCACTCGGGTATTCAAATATGATAATATACTAAACGTAGTAAGCTTTTGATATTGATTTCCAGTGGTCTCTGATATCAAATGCACTTTCCTGTGCTCATTCCTAAAAGTTTTTTTAACAAAATCACACTTACTATTACTCCTCTCGACGTGTACTTGATCCCATCGGTGTGGTGCACCACCACCGCATCCTCGCCTAGCCCGGTGCCGATGACGACCTCCGTCAGCGGGTTGTACACGTACACACCGCACGTGTCGTTGAAGCAGCCGCCACCTCGGGCGGCCCTGCACCTGGCAGAGCTGCAGAGGATGGGGCGGTGGGACGAGGACGACGTAGGGTTGTAGCAGGCGGTGCCGCAGTCAAACCACGAATATGAACCCAAGAGGTCGAGCACCGCCTTCACGGGAGAAGGCGGCGTGCCGAGGGTGATGGTGGTGTAGTATTGGCGAGATGCCTCATCTTTCACGACGGGGAAGATGAGAGAGGAAGGAGCAGGAGGTTGGGTTTGGGAGGATGAGAGAGAGAGGAAGGAGGTGATCGAGGCGAGGAGGAAGAGGCAACGAGAAGTCACCATTGTTGACACTGAAGAGAATGGGCTTGAGAAATCTTGAAGAGGTGCAACTTTGGACTGAGGAACTGAAGTTTTATACACTCCAAACACAATATCCAACCACACTTTGGTCTACTGTCTTTGTAAGCTCTTCTGCGCTTGTAGCATTACTCTTCTGCAACCACAGTCAAACCCCATCTCGATAAAGACAACGTTGCAGACTTGGAAATAGACACTTTGACTTCTGCAACCTACTATGAATTGAATTGCATGCACATAGCTCTGGCTGAGATAATCATCAAAGAGAATGCATATCTTCTCTCTCTCTCTCTCTCTCTCTCTCTCTCTCTCTCTCTCTCTCTCTCTCTCTCTCTCTCTCTCTCTCTCTCTCTCTCTCTCTCTCTCTCCATTGCAAGTCGGTTAATGTGTTTTGTTCAGACCAGCAGACTTTCACGAATCACAGCTCATCCGGGCTTTCTTGACAAAGCAGAAGATGTCAATCCATGCCGCTTCCTTAAATGGTGACGTACCAGGTTTAAGTGAACTGAATCAAAATGACAGATCCTCGAAAATTAGAGATAGTGTTTCATTCATTGAGCAGAAGCTGTAAACCAATGCAAACAAACAACCTATTAGCATTTTAGTGAAGTAGTAACTCAATTATGAGAAAAAATGTAGAGTTTGGGCAAACGTTGCTTTCATTGATGAAACAATTTACAATATATATACATAGTATTTAGGGCTAAAAACAATACAATGACAATTATGCCCTTTAGTATAAACCTAATCTACCAATACTCCCCCTCAAGTTGGTGAATGTAAACATGTCAACAACTTGTTCTTAAAAGTACAAAATAAATCGCATGTGACTGGTTTCGTGAACAAGTCCGCGAGTTGGGAGTGACCGAGAATATGAAGAGTGCGCAAAGTGCCATCTTGAATTTTTTCACGAACCAAGTGACAGTCAATCTCGATGTGTTTGGTGCATTCGTGGAAGACGGGATTAGTGGCAATGTGGATGGCCGCTTTATTATCACAAAAAAGATCAGCAGTGGTAGTGTTGACGTGGAGATCCGAGAGAAGCATGCGAAGCCATGTGATTTCGCAAGCGGCAGACGCCATAGCATGATATTCAGCTTCTGCTGAGGAACGGGCAACAGTGGTTTGTTTCTTGGAACGCCATGAGATGGGACAAGAACCAAGAAACATGCAGTAGCCAGAAACAGATCGTCGAGATGTAGAACAAGATGCCCAATCAGAATTTGTATAACCATTAAGTTGAAGAGTAGAATTGGATGGGAAAAACAAAATAGTGCCGGGATCATGCTTGAGATACCGCACAATGCGAAGTGCGGCATTCCGATGGTCTTCATTAGGAGAGTGCATAAATTGACAAAGATGTTGCACTGCAAAGAGTAAATCTGGACAAGTTACTGTAAGATATAATAATCTACCAATAAGTCGTCGATATGAACCTGGATCCTCGAGAGTTGGAGAGGAGTCCGAAAATTGTATATTGGGTTCCATCGGAGTATCAACAGGACGTCCTCCAAGAAGACCAATGTCAAACAAAATATCAAGAGTGTATTTCCTTTGTGACAAGAAAATCCCAGACTTGGAATGAGAAACTTCAATGCCCAAGAAGTATTTGAGAGTACCCAAGTCCTTAATGCGAAATTGTATGTCAAGGAATCGCTTGAGAAGTTGAATCATAACTTCATCATCACCCGTGATAACCAAATCATTAACATAAACAAGGACAATGGTCAAGAGAGAGCCACCGACCAATGTAAAAAGTGAATAGTCCGCCTTGGACTGTTGAAAACCAACATCAAGCAGTGCATAAGAGAATTTAGCAAACCATTGCCTCGATGCCTGTTTAAGGCCATAGAGTGATTTCTTAAGCCGACAGACTAAATTCTCCCCCTTAGTATGAAAACCCAGTGGAAACCTCATGTAGACCTCTTCGTCAAGATCAACATGCAGAAAAGCGTTATTTACATCTAATTGGTAGAGAGGCCAATGACGAATTGAAACAAGAGCTAATAAAGTGCGAACGGTTACCATTTTAACAACAGGCACAAAGGTGTCATGATAATCAATCCCCTCTGTTTGAGTGTAACCCTTTGCAACAAGACGAGCTTTGTAGCGCTCAATGGTGCCGTCAGACTTATATTTGATTCGGTAAACCCATTTACATCCAATGGGTTGTTTGTCAGGAGGAAGAGGAACAATTTCCCAAGTGTCATTCTGTTCAAGGGCCTGTATCTTAGAAGACATTGCCTCCCGCCACTTGGGAGATTAACACGCAGCGTCATAAGTTTCAAGTTCTTGCTTTAAGGATATGGAGGCTAAAAAAACACGGTGAGTGGGTGAAAAACGCGAGTACGATAAACAGTTGGATAAGGGGTAAAGATTACCTGATTCAGTTACCTTAGAGTCCGAAGAGGATTGATCGGAGGCCACAATAGCGCAGTAGTAGTCTCGAAGATATCCGGGTGGATGGCGTGGCCGAGATGGCCAAGGCACGGCTTTGGGTGCAGTGGGTGATGGTGCGGCTGTGGGTGCAGGGGGCTAAGGAGGTGAGGTCGGTGCAAGTACCGGGGTGGAGGGAGGAGGGGAGGTTTCACCAAGATTGGGTATGGGTAATGAAATTACCGGGGTATGTTCTGGTGTGGTATGGTCGATTGTTTGACAAAAAGGAAAATCTTGTTCATAGAAAACGACGTCGCGACTGGTAAAAGTTGTTTGGTCTTGGAGATCATAAAGACGGTAACCTTTGTGGTTTGTAGGATAACCGATTAGAACACATCGGCGAGATCGGGGGCCAAATTTATCGGAGTGAAGATGGCCGGTAGAAGCGTAACATAATGAGCCAAAGACACGAAGATGAGAATAGGAAGGTGGTTTGCCATAGAGAAGGTCATACGGGGTTTTATTGTGTAGGAGAGGACTAGGTAGTCTATTAATGAGATGAGTAGTAGTTAAGACACAATCACCCCAAAAATGAAGAGGCATGCCAGAATGAAAACGCAACGCACGAGCAACATTGAGCAGGTGACGATGCTTGCGCTCAACAACTCCATTTTGTTGAGCAGTGTGAGGGCAACTGCGCTGGTGGTGAACACCATGGGCGCGAAAAAACTCTTGCAATCGAGAGGAAAGGAATTCAGTCCCGTTATCAGATTGAACATTTTGGACTTTGGTTTGAAATTGAGTCTCAACAAAAGCAAAGAAGTGAATCAGAGAATCAATTGCATCAGACTTAAAAGTAAGCAAAAAAATCCAAGTATAGCGCGAATAGTCATCAACAATAGATAAAAAATAATGACATGTCTAATGCATAAAATGAGAATAAGGTCCCCAAATGTCAACATGAATAAGCTCAAAGGGACGTAAAGTAGCAATAGTGCTAGATGCAAAAGACAAACGCGTTTGTTTGGATAAATGACAAGCATCACATGGACTCAATCGTTTTGCTAGACTAAAACATAAAGTTTGTTGCAAAGTGGATAAAATTGACTCATATGGATGTCCTAAGCGGGTGTGCCAAAGTTGAGGTGAAGAAGTTGCAGTAGAGAGGACGGCAGGTTCGGTAGGAATCTCCAGATAATAGAGACCACCACGCTCATGGCCCCGACCAATGATCTTCTTCGTCAAGAGGTCCTGAAAAAGGCAATGTTTAGGAAAAAAGGTGACTGAGCAATTTAAAGTTTGAGTGAGCTTGAAGATTGATAATAAGTTGTATTTGAAAGAGGGAGCGCAAAGGACATTGTCAAGGGAGATAGTTGGGGTAAGAGGGGCCGAACCATGTGATGTCACAGGGACACCAACACCATTTGGAATCCCAATGGTGGGATGTGGAGAGGGATAATGAGTCGGGTTTGTAAGGTGACGGGGTTCAAATGTGATGTGGTTGGTGGCGCCAGTGTCAATAACCCAAGTATCAGAATTAAATGAACTCGAAGATAAGCCAAGAACATTACCTGAGAGGTTGGCTTTTGGGATGTTTACCTCTTGCAGCAAACGCATCAGTTGCTTATATTGATCATTTGTGAATGGAGGAGGTCCCGCATCGGAAGTATGGTTGGACTTGTTGTCTGTGGGCCGAGAAGAGGTAGATGGCTGTCCACGGCGTTGCTTGTGGTTGAGAGGGAAGCCATGAAGTCGAAAACACACATCCCGTGTATGTCCCGGGATGCCACAATGGGCGCATCTTTCCCAACCGCGGGACGTGTTCGTCCGTTTAGCCAAGTTGGTGGACGAAACGGGAGCGCCAAGAGAGCCGGGCTGTCTGTGGGATGAGGAATCCGCGTATGGCCACGAAGTATGGTTGCCGTGAGTGCTAAGCAAAGTGTTGGTCTGATCGGACGGTGGGCGATCCAATTGGATATGGTGGTGCGACTCATCCTGAAGAACTAGTGCATATGCACGTGCAACACTAGGTAACGGATCCATTAGTAAAATCTGACTAATAACATTAGCGTACCTCGGATTGAGACCCATGAGAAATTGAAACAATCGCCGATTCTCTTGTTGTTTGGTAATGATAGAATGAGCTGAACAAGAGCATTGCGGTAACGGATCCAAATTATTCAATTCATCCTAGTAACTTCGCAAGTTGTTGTAGTACTTGGTCACGGCATCGTCATGTTGTGCAAGGGTGCATATCTTTTGCTCAAGATGAAAAACCCTAGGACCATTCGATGGCGAAAAACGTTCGCGGAGATCGGACCGCAACTGACTCTGTATAGAGAACCGTTGGCACCAAATCTGGATGGATGGAATTAAGAATCCAGGATAGAATCATATTGTTAACATGAATCCATGATGCATGGACAGGATCGGCTGCGGTTGGTTTTTTAATTTCTCTAGTAACAAATTACCATCTTGTTCTTGGCGGAAAGGGCAATCTCCATGGCACGTGACCAATTGTTGTAATTATCACCCGTAAGGACCATGCCGACGAGATTAGATCCAAGGTTATCAGAAGGATGCATAAAATAAGGGCTGTTCAGCTGCTCATGTGCGGGAGCGATGGCTGAAGAGGTTTGAGAATTGTCTACCATGGCGACTTGTGG